ATATTCAGAAGTTTATTTGTAGAGTTCAGAGACTTCCACGCACAGATCCGCATTCTAATATTCTCGAAGGCATAGAAATATAAACGATGAAATCACTGTACTGTTTCTTCTCTGTGAATTTTTATGAAGTGTGAAAGGAAGTGTAACTACAATGGTGCTGAGACATTTGAAAAAATTCGGACCGCAAGTATGTGCGGTGAGATTAGAACTTGCTATTTCCTCTTCCAGGCGCTAACGCGTTAACCGCCACACCATGCGGGTTCTTCATTTTGCCTTTTCAGCTGAGAGAAAGGCAAAACGGAAGACTCACATGGTGTGCTGGTGGTCGCGTTAACCCCTGGAGGAACAACAGCGAGTTCCATTCCTACTGCCGTTATGGAAGAAAATTCGGGAAAGCTATCGAAAAACCTCCATGAACGAGTCAATATCAGCCATTTTGCTTGACCATTTCCCATAAAACATACTGCGAACCGATAACAATAAGAGCTTCTTTATTTTGTTATCACTTTTTTGCTTTCTGGCAATTTTGTTCACATTATGTTTACAAGATTAAAATTTGTACTACACTTTTCAAATAATACGATTGCTCACAACGACAATTTTTTAATATTCCGCAATAAACGCAGTGTGAAGCTAATACAACCTGAAATATTTATGTTGTCCGCGATGAGCAACGAACGCGCAATTACCCATTTCAGGTGCTAAGGTGTTCACCACCACACCATGCGGGTCCTTCGTTTCACCTCTCTCTCAGCTAGCTCTATCGATCAGGCCATCAGCAATCACCCGTCAACGGGACTGATCTGGCAGCCTACATCGGCATTGAACCCAGTTAAGCGCGGCTATAGTTGATACAGAGGACCCGAATAGTGTGGTGGTGAATGCGTTATCCCCGGAAAGTGTAATAACGCGTTCGTTCCCACCACAGACACCTGTGGCCCGTAGTTTTGCAAATAGCTCAGCATCATTGTGGCTATATTTCACATCATACTCTGCCATGAAACTGTAGAAGGCAGCAGATAAAAAGCTAAGATTTACATTATTTTACTATGTCTCCTTGTAAATATAAAAATCGGTCCTCTCTTCTTTCTTACTTCCTTCCTTTAACAATGATTTTCAACTAAGTTTGCTGCTGTTTTTTGCAATTATTTGTTTTTCCGAATGTTATGGAAGCGATCTGAGAAATGGGAACATTGATGGAAGAAACACGGAAAAGTTGGTTGTTTTAAGTGGGATGTTTTCTTTTTTTTCAACGGAATGCATATTGATTTATTGGCACACAAACAACGTGGAATGCCAGCATGTGGTACCGTATACCACATTTTGATTTTATACGAAGACAACTGATCTTTTTTGTTGGATTCTGAAGTGCTCAATGAAATGAGGCTTATTGAGAGTAATGAGGGTATGTACAGCATTGTAAAGGAACGCTATCACTCACGTTCAGGAAAATCGCTATTGCCAGCACTCCATTTGGTTGCTTCAATGCTAGTTCCATAGTGGAAAAACGAGTATTACGATGGATCAGATGCAATTCACCGGCGTAGCCGACGCCTGCAAGTCTCAAACCGTCTAAAACGTTACTGGTTCATCAGAATTCCATACTGCTACTGGTAAAAACGTCTAGGCAAAGAAATATGGCAAGGATTTCTTGTACAAAACAAGTTCTGACCAAGTTCTTTCTATGTCTATGATTTTTCTTCCTTTTGCCGTTTAAGGATGTACTAGTATACTTCATGTGAATATTGATTGTCGGCGTTCTTTTTTTCAAACCAAAATAGACCTTATATTATTAAAGATGGATGAGCATAAAGTGATGTGTATGCAGCCAATAAGAATGACGCAGACAACTCCCCGAGCATTATCAAAACAAATTGTTTGCAAACAGTGTCATTAAATGATCACAACATACCGCCAATAGTGTGCTCAGAGCCGTTCATCGGTTCGGTGCTCCAGTGCCAGGTGAGCATATCTAGATGGTACTGTTCTTCAGGCAGAAACGAAACCGCCAGCTCGGAGTCATTTCCCTCACGTATGAGCCGCAGTGCATCACCGGTGTTCGTGGCATAGAACTCACCTGTGCTATGGTACTCCACCCTGAAATCAAGCGGATCATCTGCAAAGAGGCATTCTACGGCCGACACTGTCACTCGTTGTTGTCGCTGAGATGTCAGTTATATATGCTGAAGATTTTTTACACCTAATAATAACATGTCTCTCATAACTTGGAGGTATCTTGGTGGTATATCTCTTAGTAATTCAGAAGACCGATTTTCACTAAACCTCTGTATGAATAGTCAATAATACCTTGCGAACTGCTTTCGTCTAAGCTAGGGTGACGTTCGCATCCGTTCTTTTTAAAATGCGATGAATGGCAATAGAGCGATTGCTTATGGTGTGTGAACAACACCCAGGTGACCCTCCTCTATCTAGGAAGATAAGGGGCTCTGAGGAAGGCGAAATCGTCGAGATCAGCGCTCGCATTCGAAAAATGAGAGATATCAGAACAAAACCAGTTCATTAGGCATTTTCAGTGCTGTTTTCGTTGAAGTTTCAAGTTCGTCTTAGATGTAAATCAGCAATTTTTGTAAGTTTGCCGTAACGTACTGTAGAAATGCAAAACTGAGAAGAAAGGTTTCTCAAATATATTACAAAAACTTCGAAGACAAGCAACTAACTATGTATTCAGAGCGTAAAAATGAAGAACCTCAAATGATAAATAATTTTAATGTGCTCCCAGATCAACGCCGTTGACGAGTGATTCTTGATAGCACCTATAGGTCAATAACACGGCTGAGAGACAGGCGAAACGAAGCACCCGCATGTAGTGGTGGTGAACGCATTAACCATGAAAAGAGTAATAGCGTGTTCGTTCCCCACCGCACACACCTACGGTCCGGAGTTTTGCAAATATCTCAGCATCATTAAAGTTATATTTCACAATGTATACCCTGCCGTTAAAAATTATTAGGCAGTAAATAAAAATTGGCGACATTGTAATATGTAATTTACCAAGATTGGCGAATTGCTTGGAAAGTAATCACTGACTTTGTTAGTAACTAAATATAGGTGTATTTATTCCTCCATTGTTAAGCGAAATACCTTCAAATATCGTGCAATTGATATTGAATGGCTCACCTAAACTCAGCATTCTGTAGACGCTCATCAAAAACAGTGATGACGGGGACGATATCAATTGGTGATGGATAGCGTCCTAAACCGGACACATTCAGCATTTTCCCCAATGAATCGAGTTTCACCTAAAATTTGAAACCTAAGTGCAACTCATTCCATTAACTAGAGTCAGGTAAAGTTCTTCCATTCTAGATCCATCACAGCTCACTTTATTTAGAAGTTCATTTTTAGCGTTGAGCGCGCTTTCGATGAGTTTTGGAGCACCATCCTAAAATTGTCTCTTGTTACATAGGATTTAAATGACTCGAAAAATAACTGTGGACCCATAGAATATGTGAGGAACAATAAAGCATTCAACTTTGATCGACTATCCATCAACTAACTTAAATACTTATCAAGAATGCACCATGCAGTAAACTTCATCGGGTGATTGAATACATGTTTGGTCTATACAATGACTTTAAGGGAGATATCGATGAATCAAGGTTGTTTTTCCAACTTCTCAGATAGCTTTTACACCAATTTCCCGACATCGGAAGGATTGAAAGCTTCGTTTGTCCCTGAAGGTTACGTCAACCCAACTACTAACTATGCATTGCAGCGCATCTATAAGCATTTTGCAGCATGCTTCCACGAACGTAGGCTGACACTACCAGATTTACCTTAAGAGACTGGAGATGTGCACCAATAGCAGGCGCTCCTTCGGCCATGGTAGCTGTTTTCTCTTTCAACGTCTGCAGATGACCTGATAGTTGACTTAGAAACGCCATCTAAACAACGTGCATTGATTGACGAGGAAGATGATAAAAATGAATGAACACGGTAACGAATCCTCAGAAGTTCATCGCCAAAAGGTAGTAATAAGAATTTGTGACAAAGTAAAATAGGGTGGCATTTATGTCATTAAAAGAATGCAAACAAAATTCCATGTAAAATTTTGGTATGTTTCGATCCATGTCCTCCATGAATGTTTGGCAAAAATATGATGTCGGTTCAACATAGGAGTACAACACTAACTAACACTTTCAGCGTTCATATTTCATTGCCAAGTGAATGAACGTTAAATATTTTTTAAAATTTATATGGTCCGTCATCACATCTACTGTGCGGGTCCTTGCACTTCTTGAATTTGATTCGTTCTTCCTCGCACTCATCGTTAGCAATGGTCTTCGAACATTTGGCGTGTTGTTTCAGCTGCTGCCTGAGGGTCTTGTCTTCTTTATGAATGTCGTAGAATGATGGTCGAGTCAATTCTTCATGCAATCTGAAGATGGGCTAAGATGTTTCCACATGGATTCGAAGAGATCGTTGGGGAGAGGATCAAACCAGCGCCTTTCTTTCTTGATTGACAGCACCCGTAACCACTGCGCTATCCACGTCCCTAGTGTTAAACATAGTCGAATATTTCGTCGAGTATGCAGATGCATGTGTAGCGAAGATGTGCAATACACATGTGGTCTTTGGTTCGACCTTTCGCCCTAGGCCAACCACCCAGCCATGGCCAGCGAATTGCTACTGGACTTGTCTGCGAGGATAACAATGTTGACCTGGTACCTAGGTAGGCACGCATACCTCTTTGTACCGACCAAATGTGCATTCATTCTCCTCCAAGATATTTCGATTGAAAGACGCATCCCTAAGAGACTGATCAACGTCGAACACTTCATCCTTCATATTTTACTCAGATACACTCCGCGTTGTATAAAAAATTTGCAATTTCGGGAAATTTTTCTCGAGGTTATTAATTTTGAGTCTTAAGACATTATAACAAAATTAGAAGAAACAGAATGATTCTTAATTTCGCTGACGGGTGGTTGCTGATGGCATCGTTAGGTGAGAGAAACGCAGAGCGAGGGCTTCCGTGCCGCAGTGCGTAATGCGCGAGCACCCGGAGATCGAAATCATGGTTCGATCAAGCCCGGAGTCCGAGTTTTGCGAATATCTCAGCATCGTTGTAGTTGTAATTCACATCATACCCTTCGGTGAAAAAATGAAAAAGACAGAAAATAAAAGATTAACAGAAAGACTATTTGTTTATGTGATCTTATAAACTGATCTTCTTAAGCTGACGCGAGGTTGGCACAGATCTTCGTTGTCGTTGTCGTTGTTTTTGATGTTATTGACAAACATCAAACATCAAAAACAGCGACAACGGCAACGAAGATCTGTAGCAACCTCGCGTCAGCTTAAGAAGATCAGTTTATAAGATCACATAAATAAATATATCAACTATCTATGCCGAGGTTTATAGAAAGTCGGTCTTCCGAGTTAGAAAGATTATTATTTAAAAAAAGAACATAGGAAGCAATATTGAGTGTTCTTCTTTTTAGCGATAATAAGAAGAGAATGTGATTTCTCATAGCATGAAGACAACAATGGGCAAAACCGAGAAGTATCTGTCAGAACACGTTAATGAAGTGAATACATTCGATTTCATGTGATGACGTCAGAAATCTGAGGAAAAGCGCTAAGTCATCAATTTCGCAAAAGCGGCTCGACTTGATTCTTTCTTAGCCATGCATCAATTCCTAATTTTATTAAATTGAAATGGTAGTGCAGTATATCGATATGCTGCTCGTTAGGATAATGTCATTGCTTTAAACGTCATCGGTTCAACACCATTCAACCGCCAGCGCCGTTATCACCCTCCAGGAATGATTTTTCCAGCCGTTACATTCCGTAAACCAGAAAAAAAACTTCGCAGAATCCGTATTCATAATGTCAGAAAGCCTGTGGACCGTACCTTTCAAGGAGACTGAGATACTGAATGCGAACGTCTTCTACGTTCGCTCCTCATTAAAGCGTCTTTCCCTTGAAAATATGGTGAATTTTAGAGAAACTGCTTTTATCTGAGTCATCGAGAACGACTAAAAAATGTATTCGGAAAACTCTGGAGACGCATGAAATTTTCTAGTGTTCAAATGATCTGAATTACTTTCACAGAGTTCCTTATTTGAACAAATTCGGTGTTACTCAACAACATTGCCACCCGCAGCAACGTTAATTTGCTTAATTGTTAAGAGTAACTCGACTTGGCACTAGTAAAATGTTCACTCATCCTTATTGCGAGCCGAAGATGTTTAGTTGGCCCTGTATGTTTGAAGAATATGAAAAGCACCACACTTCTAGTGCCAGTTCCCTTACTTTTATTGCCCTTAGTAATGGAGTAGTCACGCAGTTCGCCACGCTTTGTCATATCATGGGCCATTGCTTTAAATAGCAATCGCGAGGTTTTTAAACAGCATACATTTACTTCCATAAAAACACAATACAATACAACGCTAGCTGACGTTTCGGCAGTATCGCCTTCTTCAGAGCCGCTTTTTCGTGACTTCCAATGAGGAAGTTTAGAACAGCTGATTATAGTCGCATGTGGTTGACGACTCGTCTGTTCTAAACTTCCTCATTGGAAGTCACGAAAAAGCAGCTCTGAAGAAGGCGATACTGCCGAAACGTCAGCTAGCGTTGTATTGTATTGTGTTTTTATGGAAGTAAATGTATGCTGTTTAAAAACCTCGCGATTGCTGACCAAGAAAACGATACATTCATATTCCAATGCCGAGGTTAAGAGAAAGTCGATCCTGGGAGCTTTAAATAGCATTCGGAATAGGAATGGCTAACATGTTAGCTTAGTCTACTTTACTGCATTACGTTAAACCCTTGTCGATCATAGTATGATATCCAGGTACACCCCAGCCCAGAGCGCTAAATCGTTGAGTCAGGTCATTATAATATCGTCATCAGACAATAAATACTAATTTGCTAAGTATTTCATAGACGAATATTCTTTTTTTGGTTTTTATAAATTGCTTTAACGAATGGGAGTAAAAAAAACTGTGAGAAAAAGAAAAGTGGCTCGTTTGTTAATGACGGCATGAATGACTGAAATGTGAGAACACTTCTAACTAGATGGCGCTAATATTTTACGGCTATCCCGGAGATGAAGTGCAGCGTGAAACATCAATTTATATGACATTTTGAAACGCTTCGTCGGAGAATAAAAGCGATAGAATGCACAGTCATATTTCGTTTTGTTTCGAATCTGACGCAACAAAAAGTAATGTCCAAAACCGACTTTCTATTCCCCTCGGCATCGATGGATAACTCGGTATCTTCTTGATTTGCACACATGAGGTTGTTATTATAAATTATTAATTTGCAACAGTTGACGTTTTGGAAGATTTAGTCTTCTTCAGAGCATGGAAAGTCAACTTTACTGAAATATACCCAACCAAAAGGCGCATGTGGCGCAGCGGTCGGAGGCGCCACGCAACACACACGTGGAATCGATCCCTGCGCCCCAGCCCCACTCAGCCCTCCATCCCTGCGCGGTCGGCAAATTGGTATCAGACTTGTCTGGGAGGATAGGAGCACTGGCTCCATACATTGTTAGGCCATTGTACAAGCCAGACATGCATTCAATCACCTCCAAACGATGCTTATTGACGTCGAATGCATGGCGCATCTCTCAGAGATTGATCAACGCCGAGAGATTTAACTTTTAACCCAACCAAACACCTCCATAACCAAAACAGAAAAGACATAAAGCCAAAATTTCAGTCGCATTAGAGACGAATAGCCTATCCGCATATTCACCGCTTTCGAAGAAACTGCTTTGTTTTTAATGAGAATGAAACTTTGGTTTCGTGTTTTTTCAGCTTTGGTTATGGAGGTGTTTGGCTGTGGTAGATTGCAGCCAACTTTCTAGGCTCTGAAGAGGGCGAAGTCCACAGATACGTCAGCTGTTGTAAACAAATAATATATAATAACAACCTCGTGTGTGCTAACCAAGAAAATCGCGAGTTATTCAAGAGAATGTTTTTTGGTAAAGAACTAAAAGAAACCAGATAAGGTTTAGTATGTGGACCCCTACGTCTTCTCCTTCCGTTATTTCTTTATTGTTGGTAATAGTAAGTCTGTAGTGATTGGTTTATGGGTAGAAAACCGGCTTCGCGATATAAAAAGTGAAACATTACGGTTACTACTCCACAATGATGCGATTCTCTATGTGAGTGCTTAACGAGTAGGAAAGAGTTCAAGAATCAACCAAAAGCGACCACATACTTGCTTTGGGTTCTGGGTAGTCCCCAACAAATTAGTCACATGTGTGCTGCAGAATAGTCCACCAAGACACTTGCATGTACAAATAGATTAATGTAAACGTAAATATATCAACACACACTATCACGGGTGTGATGAGGTATGTTCGATTTGTATTCCATGGTATAAAAGCCTACTGCTTTGCTGTTGTAGGAACGTAGTGAAACGCCATTCATGGTTGCATCCAATATATAAGTCATGCTTTTGCTTCATGAGGAGTCAACGAGATACCTGTGAACACAACACTGGTAAATGGCATTTACTTACTTACTTGATACTTGAACGGCCCGTCCTCACTGGTTGTGCGAGCCCCAGCATAATCACCATTTTTCGGAGATTTACTGGTTAAGCCATTGTGGTTCCCTAGAATCCCGAGGTCAACCTGGCCAAACTCTGCCCCAGGTCATCACCACCACGGGCAGTCGCAGCCCTTGTGGATCAGAAATAGATTTGCCCCCATGCGGCTTGGAAACCAGGACGGTGGTGGATCCTGGTATTGGTTTACTCTTAGCTAGGCGTCCTGATAGAAACGCCGGACTCCTTCTCAGCTTGGGAGATTTTGCCGGGCGGACGAACCCCCCGCTGTACATCTCAGTCCGACGCCCAGGAACACCTCTCAGCCACGATGAGGCGGTAAATCGTTGGGAGGTAAGTGCCATTTACAAGTACAAATTTTACTTTTAAG